GCTTGTTGATGTGGTAGATTATATTAACTGATTTTGAACACTGAGCCAGCTTTGCAAGCCTGGAACAAGTCCCACTTGGTCATGGTGTATAATTCTTTGTATACATTATTGGTCCACATACTTTTGAAATGCAGAAACCTAGGCATTATCCTTAACACCTCCTTCTCCTTCTCCCACATTGTCCCATTACCATGATTGTTACCTCTATTTCTACCACGCCCCTCCCAGTCCAAGTCCCTGTTCTCTCCTCCTTGTTGTACGTCAGCAACCTCCCACCTGGTCTCCCTACATTAATTTTGCTTCCTTCCAACTACTTTCTACACAGCACTCAAGGATATTTTCATACCATAGATCTAATTTTGATGCTTCTCTTTAAAATCCTTCCTTGGCTTCCCACCACTTTTAGGCTAAAGCCTCACATCCTTAATGTGGTCTATGAGGCCCAGTGTGATGTGATCTTCCTCCAACTGTTACCCTCCTACAGCCCATTCTCTGTGCCTCAGCACATGAGCCTTCTCCACTCCCCTGGATTCATCTGCCACCCACTCTGGGGCCTTTGCATGTATTATGCCCACCTACCCTCTCTCTCTCATCCTTTGTCAGGATGACTTTTCAAGTGACAAGCCACTTTTCCTGGAAAATCTTCCTAGCTCTAGAGGAAAGATCAAGAATATTACATAGATGCATGGAAGACATAACAAAAGACCAAACATTCCTACTTCAGCTGGCGAGTGACAGCTGGCCATCACCTGTAAACTGCCTTCACTGTGGAGCATCAGTCTTAGGCAAGGTGTCAGGGAAAGTTGCTTGCCTTTACTTACAGCCACTCAGCATAGACACCCCTCCTTCACATCTTCTCATGGCCACATTCCTGTCCCTACTTTACCTGAAGGGACCCACAGACCCCACAGTGCCTGACATCTGGAACCCTGGAGCTTACTCTCCCTGTCCCCACACCACCCCACCATGCTCTAGGGAGTCCACCTAGAATCACGTGACAGAGCCCAGCATCTCCCTTCCCCTTCTGCTGTTCCTACCCTCACCCCAGGGCAAGGTACCCCTGACTGACACATGCCCAGCTGCCTGTTTCCAAGGAAAGGAGCCCCCACATAAACTTGATATGTTTTGAGTCTTTGGGAATAGAATGCTCTTTATAACAAGTGAGTCAATCAACCACTTGACTTTCAGGTACTCAGCTTGGAAACACACTTCCAAGAACATGTGATGTACAAAAGTAGAGACTGCCTGTACCAGAAATGACAAAAACTGACCAAGAGTAACATGAGGACACATTGTGTTTGTTCATCAGGAGGAACCATCTCTGAGAATATCAGAAGCAAATCAACCTGGCTTTAGAAGAAAACAAATCCCCAAATATTATTTTTGATGTTCAATGCCACTTCAATTTATACCTCTAAGGTTTGGAATTAACAAGTTATAACTAGAAGAGTAGTTTCAACTAAGTGTTTTGATCATCTCTCTGACCACTAGGCTTACAAAATACCAACATATTTGCAAAATCTTAGCCAGGAAATATAGAGTGCCACACAGGCACACATGTTTACACACTCACCATTCGTTTGGCTGTTCTAAAATGTCCACACAGCTTTGTGAGGGGAATTTGGGTGTCCGTGGAAAAGGCATTGATCTGAGAAATCTCTTAAGAAAATAAAACCACCATCACTGTGCAGGAGTAGGAATCTGGCTGCTAACTGAAATGTAGTCATTCTCTCTAAATAGAGCTCCGTGCACATTATAAATGACAAGACAATATGTGTTCTGTGAACTGAGTAAGCTGGAGACCCCTGTTAAAATCCCAGGGGAAGCAGTGATCAGTCTCACGCGCACGCTCTGAGACAGTGTGGTGGCAGGTGCGGTGCCACGAGGTAGGGGAGTGAAGCCCAGTCCCTGACCTTGTTACTGACCCACACTCGGTCCTCTCACCCCATGCCCTGCACAGTCAACCTACTGACACTGGAGGGTGGTGAAGGAAGTACGGCATTTATTGCAAGGCACCCAATGAGGGGCCACGCAAGGAGAATGGGCAGCACGTGCTCAAAAGATCGAAATTCCCCAATGGCCTTCAGGAAAGCTTTTTAAAGGCAACATGAGGGTGAGGGTTGTAGGGGGCCTGATCAGCTTGTGGACGTTCTTCCGACTGGGTGATGGTGAGGTAACAGGGTGGTGTTTCAGGAGTTACCGTCAGCAGCAGATCTGGGGTCAGCATGCAGTTAACTTCTTCCACCTGGTGAGGGTTTTGGCATCTACAAAACAATTCTTGGATATGGCTCAGGAGATCATCTATAGCCCTTGAGGAGGAACTAAAGGCCCTTGACTTTGTTTTATGGGTAAACTGTTATTTTGTCTTGCTTTGACTGTTTTCCTTTGTTTCTGCATTTTCTCACTTCTCTAATTAAATTTAATCTTTGGAACTTGGGGAAGGCCTAGGAGGCTAAAACTTTTCTACAGATAAGAAGCAGGAGACACCAGGGTGGGGGATGGAGGTCTGTCGCTACGAAGGCCCCACAAGGTCCTGCTCAGTCCCAACCTCAAGGCTCTTGAAAACTAACGAGAATCCAAGAGGCAAAAAGGGGGAAGGAGGAATGGCTGCTGGCCCCTTGCCTAAAAGCGTGCTTAGGATGTGGTTACAGACTATAAATTATTTGAAAATGCCTGGACTCGAAGCAGTACAAACTGTAACATAAATGATTTCACTTTAAAGATAAGGACAACCAGGCCATGCAGCGGTTTGTCACAAGTCATAATGGGTTCCCAGGTGGAGCAGTGAAATTCTTCCCAATGGCCAGCTTACAATGAGCTATAATCACTCAGGTGTTTTTGCCCT